TCTACCCTATTCTATTCTGTCCTATTGCACTCTATCCTACTCTACTCTACTCTACTCTTCCTTCTTTCCCTACTCTACTCTACTCTACCCTACCCTTCTCTATTCTCCTTCCTTCTTTCTCTATTCTATTCTATTCTATTCTATTCTACCCTATTCTATTCTGTCCTATTGCACTCTATCCTACTCTACTCTACTCTACTCTTCCTTCTTTCCCTACTCTACTCTACTCTACCCTACCCTTCTCTATTCTCCTTCCTTCTTTCTCTATTCTATTCTATTCTATTCTACCCTACTCTATTCTACTCTGTCCCATTGCACTCTATCCTACTCTACTCTACTCTTCCTTCTTTCCCTACTCTACTCTACTCTACTCTACCCTACCCTTCTCTATTCTCCTTCCTTCTTCCCTATTCTATTCTACCCTACTCTACTCTGTCCTATTGTACTGTATCTACTCTACTACTCTACTCTTCCTTCTTTCCCTACTCACCTACTCTACTCTACCCTACCCTTCCCTATTCTCCTTCCTTCTTTCCCTATTCTATTCTATTCTTCTATTCTACCCTACTCTACTCTGTCCTATTGTACTCTATCCTACTCTACTCTACTCTATTCATCCTTCTTTCCCTACCCTACTCTACTCTACTCTACCCTACCCTACCCTACTCTATTCTCCTTTCTTCTTTCCCTATTCTATTCTATTCTATTCTACTCTACTCTACCCTTCTGTATCCTACTCAACTCTATTCTACTCTATTCTCCTTCCTTCTTTCCCTATTCTATTCTATTTCTTGATTTTTTGAAAACATTTCGCTTCTCATCCAAAACCGAAGAAGCTTCTTGGATGAAAGCAAAAGGTTTTCAAAGGAAAAAAACAAAACAGGTAAGCCCAGCTGCCTTTCGGAAGAGGCACCTTTGGGACAAACATGTCCTGGATGTGTGAGAGTCTCCAGAGACATTGGCTGAAGTTATTCTTGGCAAAACACAAAGGTAGCGAAATGCCCATCTCTCTCTCTCTCTCCCTTTCCCTCCCTCCCTCCCTCTCTCGGAGATGCATCGTCTCGCATTAGCAATTTGGACTGTTATTAGTCCTTTCCCCATCCGATCGGATTAATATTTTTCACTGATATAATAAAGGCAGTCCTCCCGGATTACCAACTTTCCAATCACATTAGTGCCAACAAATGCAAATATGATACAGGAGCAATACGACAACCCGGGACGGGAGGCCTCTTAACGCAAGATGACAGCTAGGGGAGTTGGAAGTTGCCGCGGTCCCAGGTGGGTGACGGATGAGTCTTACTATAAATGCCAGTGCGGTGTCACCACGAAATGCCAAATGCCCTTCTGGTTGAAGCTTCAGGTGGGAAAATGAGACACACACACCCCAACCTTACTCAGAAAGGGGGAGGCCATGTCCCAGTTTCCCGTTGCACCATTAGAAGATCTTAACCAGGGTGGGCTTCTAAGGTGAGATTTTATTGAAAAAGCCACTGGCTTACTTTCTCTGGTCTGGGACAACATATTTGGAATGAATCTGTAATGATTACAGTTTGTTCAATAAGCCTCAGTTAAACCAGTTTAGTGCAAGATGTGAATTCAGCCTGCTTGTGTCCACTCGCTTAAAGGGAATTTAAAACAATAAAGAAGCCTATAGCATTTAAGCTGTAAAGGTAAAGGTTCCCCTCGCACATATGTGCTAGTCGTTCCCGACTCAAGGGGGCAGTGCTCGTCTCAGTTTCAAAGCCAAAGAGCCAGGCATGGAACACTGTTGCCTTCCTACCAAAGGTGGCTCCTATTTTTCTACTTGCATTTTTTACTTGCTTTCGAACTGCTAGGTTGGCAGAAGCTGAGACAAGTCACGGGGGCTCCCTCCATTACGCGATGCTAGGGATTCGAACTGCCAGACTGCCAACCTTTCTGATCGACAAGCTCAGGATCTTAGCCACTGAACCACCGCGTTCCTCATTTAAGCTGTATTCTGGTTAATAAAATACTTTTACATTCCAATATGTCACAAGGTGAAGGAGAGAAACCAAGCCTAAAAATGAAAATAATCTGGGAATATAATTTTTTTTTTGCACACCAAAAAGCTACTTTTTGTACAAGGACACCTCCTGTGCAAGGAGTAAGATCAGGAAGGTTGGAGCTTGGAGGGAGGGAACCACCAGCCAGCTCAATTCTCGAGCTGACAGCCTGACACAGAACGACTCAGAAATATGTTAGCAGCCTTACCTTTTTGCCAGGAAATTCAGTTTTTCTGCTAGCCACCAAGAAGAGGAGAAAAAGAAAAGGCTCTTGGGCTAAACTTTGCATGGGATTGGCGTCCTGTGTTCCCCAACATAATATAAAAACAAAATAAATCAGTCACATCAAGGCTGCCTAATGGGGAATGCAGCTTCTCTTGAAACGGCAGGAATTGTGTTGGTGTTAATAAGGATAAAATTCCCCAAGTAGCTTTCCTCAAATAGCATCGCCTGTGATCTCAGTTGCGCGAGTTCACTCAAGAAAGCAAGGCAAGAAGCAGCGAATGGAAACTGATCAAGGAGAGAACTAAGGAGGAATTTCCTGACAGTCAGAAGAATTAATCAATGGGGCAGAAATGGCCTTCAGAAGTTGTGGGTGCTCCATCACCGGAGGTTTTTAAGAAGAGACTGGACAGCCCCCTGTCTGTAATGGTCTAGGGTCTCTTGCTTGAGCAGGGGGTTGGACTAGAAGACCTCCAAGGCCCCTTCCAGCTCTGGGATTCTGTTATTCTAGTCTTCTTTACTGGAGTTGGATCCCAGAATCTAGGAAAACCTAGTCTAAATACTGATTTCTTGTATTGCTAAAGATTTGATTTGATTTGATTGCGTTGCATTTATATGCCGCCCTATTCCCCGAGGGACTCAGGGCGGCTCACAAACCAAAATAAGGGGGGGATACAAACAAGAGGAAAACAACAAACAACTACGGACAAATTTAAAAACAATCAACAGCCACACAATTCGAGCGGCGACGGGAACTCGTCAGCCCCAGGCCTGTCGGAACAGCCAGGTTTTAAGGGCTTTGCGGAAGGCCTGGAGGGTGGTGAGGGTCCGAATCTCCACGGGGAGTTCGTTCCAGAGGGCCGGAGCAGCCACAGAGAAGGCNCCCCCTCTCCGCCTCCGACACAGAGCCCTCCTCAGAGCCTTCCCCAGACTCCAGGACTGGCCCAGGTTCCTCCCCAACCTTCCTCACTCTCCGAATCTGCTGCCAGCTCCACTGACCGCTGGCGTGCCACAACACATCTGTCTGAAAGAGTACAGGTCAGGGTTAGCAGAGGGTTGGACTAGCAGACCTCAAGGGTTCCTACCAACTCTTTTGTTATTCTGGATTTCTGGGTATCACCCTAAGGGAATGTGTGCTTCCCACCGCAGTTTAATTGTTTGGGGAAGCCAGAGTAAACACCCCATTCTTGCATTGATTAGGACGGTCCATTGTTCGCCCACAGTGCGTAAGTAAATACCTTTTAAATCCAAGGCGAAAGGTATCCAAGTAAGACCGAACGCTGTCCCTCCGAGGGGGGAAGGGGTTTAAATAAATGTAAAAAGAGACAACTGGCAGCCCCCCCCCCCCCCCCCCCGGGAGAAGGAAATCTGGAGTGATCCAATTCCCTTTGTGGTTCAGTAAATAATTCTTTATTACACTTTGATGTATCTTTCCCCTAATGACTTTTAAGGGCAACACAATAAAATTGGAAAGGAAAAAAAAAAGGAGGCGGGGAGGGGGGGGAAGAAGAGAGAAGGGCTGCAAGGAACAAATGCTTAATATTCAATAAATGTGTCAATTTCACATAGAGAGGCAAATGGGTCTCTATTGAGGAATTGGTAAATTTCCTTGGAGGAAAGTAAGTGCATTTTAGCCTTCAAGGGGTCCCCAGCGAAATGGAAATGGAATGTGATTTGTGATAAAACTCAGCTGCTCCATAAAAGA